AAATAAAAAATAAAAATATATCGAAATAAAAAGATATATCCAAAAAATGGCACTTGCAATCGATTAAATACTCTGAAATACTCCGAACATTTTCCTTTTGCTCTAACAGATAACTATAAAATTAACGTGACATGCAATCTTTCATTTTAACTTACATTTCATTCTTTTGTGACATTAATTTTATTGATTATTTATTGATTGTTGTAGCGAAAAGAAAGTATTCGAAGTATTTTAGAGGGGTGTTTAATCGATTACAAATGTCATTTTTTGCATTTATAAGGAAAACTGTGTAACTTACGATTTATGAAGAATTTCTTATTTATTATTGACGCTGCGCTGCTGAAGAATGAACGTTTATTGTCGTGGAATCGTATTACTTGGAGAGAAAAGTTATTTTGACCTGTTTCTGAAATATTGGTAATATAAAGATTTCTTGATCCGCCAATTATTTAGAAATTATTGATCCGCCATATTATTTAGAAATAAAAAAATATTTTAATCTGTACAGTGTGTTGTGAGAAAGTAGTTCCACGAGTTTGTGTGTGACATGTTGAACAAATGAAAACTGTAGCGACTCATGGCGAACATTATGGAACTATATCTCATAATAAAAGAGCTCACCTAGCAATGGTTTACATGGCGCCACGTATCGGTGTAGCAGAGAACCTAGTTGTACTTAAGAGGATGTTGAAGCTAAAAATTTTACCGAGAGAGACAGAATACTAACATTTTTCTACAAATGTTTACGTGAATTGGAGAGAAGCATGAAAGCGGCCATCAGCCTGATTTCATGGACATAAACAGGGTTGGTAATGTTACTTTATAAAACTAACTCGTTATCGTTACCATTATTTTCTCTAAAATATAACTCGTTACAAATCCATACAACACAGTAATGTTGAATCAATGTTGAATTGCAACAATGTCAATATTGCAGCAACATTGAGAAACATTGAATCAACGCCTTGCACAACGCATTGCACAAACCTTGATATGATATAAAAATGTCTGCGATTGTTGATTTTTCCTTGACATTTCAACGTCTTATTTATTCCTATTGTTTCATAATAAAAAACAATTCTTATTGTTTTATAATAAAAAACAAAATAAAAACATAATACAAAACTATTCCTGATTTTTTCATGTCATAACTGCTAGAAACCGAAGATTGTCAAACACACTATAAAACTTTCGCGAATCCTCCCTCGATAATTTCGAATCCGAAGCGGTATGCCGGTCACCATCCATCCTGACTGCGTTGATTAACCTGACGATCGAGCGGCACGCGGTGATTCCAATAACTCCAACGATGTTCTTACAATTTATGCTTATAAAATGTATACTTACAATGTTCACAGTATATTACAACGTACCTAGCAAATACACACGTTGATTCGTCTATCTATTTTATTTAATATCTCTAAAGTTTATGTAGTTATTTGTAAAATGACTTCGAGTTTAATGTTTTTTATGCATTTTTTGTTATTAATACAGCTTGTGTCAGACTCTATATAATAGAGAATATTATAAAATAAAAGAATAGTCGGGGTTTGCGCAAAATTGCTTACATTTCAATTTTACATATAAATGATAAGAAAAATATAATATGATTATAGTATATTGTAATATAATATGTATAATACATATATATTAATATAATAAAATTTTAAAAAAATTTATTTTATTAATATTATTATATAATAACAAATTTTTTCTTAATATTATCAATAATATAATTTTCAATGCTCCTCAAATATTGTTGCAAAAAATTGTACTTTTTATTCAATATATATTCAACATTGCAGCAATATCTTGTAATGAATGTAAAAAAACATCCTCACTTCTATCTTCAACGTTGCAACGTCTCAACAACGTTTTTTCAACGTTCTGTGCTGTATGAGAAATGTTAAAAAGTAACTCGTTACAATTACCGTTATTTAAAAAGTAACGAATCGTTACTTTTTCGTTACTTTTTTAAATGCTAAAAAATATATATATATATATATATATATATATATATATATATATATATATATATGTGTGTTTCTCTTGAGAGGAGGTTCTGGTTTCGATAAATGGATCTTTATAAATTTTCAAAAAGAAAAAAAAAATAAAGATACCTCAATATATAAATTTTTGGTCGTGCTATTTATCATTATTTTGTCTAAAAAAACTAAAACAAATATGTAATTTCTCATATTATTATATAGCAAAATAGCATAACATAATATATCGAGCTCTCATTGAATCCTTTTCAATATAAACTTACAGAATTAACAACATAAGTTAATCGATGTTATATGGATTGTCGATTAACATATAAACTTACGCAGCTCATAAAGAAAAATTATTTAAAAAAATGACAGTATCGTCCAGGACTTTTATGTTAAGCGCGATGTCGTCGGACGCTTCTAACTGATAGACAATATAATATTACAGTTCGCGTAATAAACTGAAACAAATGGAACAAGAAAATTTGAAAACTATTACATTTGCTAGACGCTTAAATCCTTTGAAGAATTTTGAAAATTCGTATTTTTCCCCAGGACACTAAAAAAGAAAAAGAGGGAGAAAAAATAAGTTCGAAGTTTCGGCATTTTGTTAAATTTCGAATTTCTACTAATAACAAAGATTTATCTATCAGCAAACTTTATGTAGTTTTGAAATGTTTTGATCCTATTTGTATTTTTAAATTATTAATATAAGTTGTATTACTGTTCATTTATTAAACGTCTGGAGACGTCCAGCAATATCGCGTTTAGCATAAAAAACTTAAATAGAAAATTTCAATTCTTTTTATATACTTAAAATAATGATGAAAAAAATTATTAGAACCCTATATATCGATATCTTTATTTATTCTCTTTGAAAAAAACTCGTAGAGACATTTCAGATATCTAAAATAGAACCTTCCTTTAAATATATAATGTGTTTTATTTTATAAATCAAATTATTAACAAAAGTCGATAATACTTCAAAAAATAGAAATATTTTATTAGTTAAGATAGTTACTTAAGATACAATTTGAAATCCAACCTTAATCATTCATCCTATGAAAGATTTGTTGTTCTAACTCCTTGAACTCTTTTCTTTTGCTCTCCAGCATTAGTTTAGCCTCTGTTAAGTTAGGTGGTAAATCATGGTACGGATCCAAAAATTGCTTAACATTAGCCAGGTCACTCAACAGTTCCAAGTACAATTTGTGTTTCTCTAAGATTTTTTCAGGATAAAGCTCTTCAACTTCCATATCATTTAAATCAGTTTCTAATTTCTTTTCAGTCTGCTGATATTCCTTCAACTTTGCAGATAAGAACATCATGTTGCAGTATAAATCATCATTTTTGCCAGTCGTAATTGTATTCTCAAGGGAATGAACTGATTCTTCCAAATGGTCCAATTTCTTCAGTAATCTTGCACGATTTTTACATAATTCATTGTGCATCTGTAACAGATGTCTCTCTTCTCGCTGTTGTGCCTTCTCCTCTATTTCCTTGCGTTGTCTAGCTATACATATTGCTATCTCATCAAATTCAAGAATCTTCTCAGCCTTCATGATAGAGATCACTTTATCTAAACCTTCTTTTATATCATTGGGTAAAGTCTTAAGTTCGAGATTCAATTTGGGCAATATATTTGTAATCTCTCTAGTGAGCGCTATATTCTCCTGATTGGTTTCCAAAATGCTTCTCAATAAGCATCGCATTTCCATGGTATCCACATTATGGTAATTCGGAACCTCAGAGTCATTATACAAGAATGACAATCCCTGTTGCTAATGTACACACAAATTAACAGTTAATGCAATATCACTTAGAAGTAAAGTATCCTTAGAAATTATCGATAATTCTTACCTCACTATTATTATCCATTGTATCAAGTTACAGTATCAAGTAATAAGAATTAACCAACTGTTCATTACTCCTGTCACTCCATTAACAGTTTCTTCGTTTGAATACTGCAGTCAGCCAAAAAGCCTCGAGGAAAAAGGAGCCAATAGGTTACGTGACAAGCTACTCTGTAATTAACTGGCATGATATACATTGATATGATTGAGAATAGAATTCACTTGAAACTGCAAACGTTTAGGTCCTTATTCTGAGCTCTTTTTATCGATAAAAGTGCTTCTAAATGTGACTTATTCTGATTTGCAATTTGTAATATAGTTTAATAGTCTAGATAGACTTTAAAGAGATTATAAGGCTCGTATATATTTTCAGTGACGCATCAAGGGAACCACTGATGAATTTGCTATTTATCGAACAAAAAATTATGTTTCTATAAATTTATTTATCTAAATAATAAGTACTAATTTGAGACAAAGCTTTTATATATATATATATATATATATATATATATATATATATATATATATATATATATTACACAAAATATTACACTTTCTATTTCTCTTATTAATACTTTATTCGTGCATCAGTGTAAGTTATTGCATCATATACTATAAATATTGCAGAAATCAAAATATCGTATGCATATCCTATATATGTTATATATTTAGGTTAGAGCGTACACGAATCTTATATGTTGTTTGCAAACCTTTATCTAAACCATTGAAAGGTTACTAAAAAAAGTTATGTACACAAAAAAAATGTGGTAAGCGTCGTCACAAGACGACCGTGCCTTACCAGTTTGTATATGTGTCCATCCTTGTCTAGGGGAGTGCTAAACGTCTCTCCTTTCATACTACACAGCTAATAGCTCTTATCTTCACCTTTATATACCAAGTGACTGATTGACAAGTACTCTCGAGAAAGCAATTTCTCCCTCCCGTGAGTAAATTTTAAATCAACAACTTTTCTGAGAAATCTAGTTAAGCAAAAGTTAATTGCATATGTTTTAATGCGTTATTATATATCAAAAATCATTTATGTAATTCAAATCGTCGGATTTATTTACATAATCTACATTATAGCAAGCTTTCTGTTTACAAAATATAACGTCCCACACAAGACAAGAGAAGCAGATAATTTTGCGAATAATATAAATTATATTAAAACCAATGAACAATTCAAATATCATGCAATTTTAAACAACTTTTTTTCTAACAAAACTAACAAATATATATTTGTCTCATTCTAACTTGCTGCACCAGTGCAGCAGTGCAGAGCGAAAAAACAGACCTTTTGATTCAACTTTGTGGACCTCAAGCGGCGAGAGTGCGAAATACTATCTCCTGCGCCATAGACCAGTGAACTCAACCTATACTGGAATGCTTACTGCAATGCTTAAGGTGCGTTCGGGGAGCTTGCTATTAGCTCGCTACTCAGCGCTACCGTGTCATTCTATCCTTGTTATATTGCTCTTATATTTAAGGAGCAATAAAGATAAAAGCAGAGAGAAACCTGAAAGCGGCCATACGTTTTGGCCGACACCGATGGTTAGACTACATTTTCCCGAAAAGTGGAGGGGATAGTATTGGTACGAACGAAAACCTCTAGACGATATAATTTTAATTTCTGTACATTAGTAACACTGTTTAAGTAGTGAGTCTGTTAGTTTGCAAAACCTTTTTGACAGATATGGGAGAGTGTAAGCAAGAAATATCGAAGAATTGTT